CCTGGAACTCATAGCGATGCTCTCCGGTTAGCATTAGTAGATTTTTAAATTCTAATAATCCAGTAGCAACCTAACACAACATTGGTTCTGAGATGGCGCCAGGCCAACCAGGACTTCATCCTGTCACGCAGAGTCACTGTGAGTTGAAACTGATTTGGTGGCACCTAATAACCTTAATCTAATAACTTCTTCTAACTTTATTTTTTTAAATTCAACTTGGATAAAGTGTTGCATTATTTTTCCTTAAGTACAACTAAATTATTTACCTTGGGATGGGGGGAATGTATTTTTTTTTCTTCAATCATCCTCTCATTTAAGCTACTTTCTCGTAATTTAACTTATTAAAATAGAAGAATATCTCAATATTTATTATATCATGGTGTTGGCTTATCTGTTAATTTACTTAATTCTACCTTTGTAATTTTTTTCTTCTATGTATAGGTTTTAACGAAAGAATTTTACAGTCTCCAGGCCTCATCTGAAAAACGCATTAGTGAACTTCAAGCACAGAACTCTGAGCACCAAGCAAGGCTAGACATTTATGAGAAACTGGAAAAAGAGCTTGATGAGATAATAATGCAAACTGCAGAGAGTAAGTCGTTCTCACACACAGAAACCTTTTTTTTTTTTTGTTTCCCCTGGAAGTACCAATCTTGTATTATTTCTAGAGTTGCTCTGAAAATGTTTCATTAAAATATAATTGATGATAATTTTTCAAAGAGTATTTTACGTTTTTAAAATGAACCTTAATTCCAGCACTTGTGATCAAAGAAGAAATAGAACATAGCTTAGATAGGTTATCTTTTTCGTTAACTTACTTTATCACAAGTTGTTACTTACTTAGCCCATAAAGGAGAGTATGGAGTGGATGCAAACAATCCTAGCCTTATATGGATTCTTAAACTAGTTGTCCAAGAGAGGGTTTCTCAATAAGAGCTATAGAACAATATGTGGAAATAATGATGAAAAGATTCACTAATTGTACCTTAGAGGTAGGGTATATCCAAGAGGAAATAATATTTTTTTTTCCTAATCTTACACAGTGAATAGAAATTCATTGAATGTGCTATGTGTGTGTGGTGGTGGTGGTGGTATGTGCGATGTGACTCAGACCTGACCCTCAAGCTGAGACAATATCTTTTCCAAGAGTATAAACTGCACTGGAGAAGATTTCCCATCTTTTTCCCTCAGAGCAGCTGGCGGGTTTTAACTGCCTGACTTCAGTTGGCAGTGCAGCTCCTTACCCACTCGACCACCAGAGCTCCCTCCACATCTGATGGAAAAGTACCTTACTGACAGTGAAACCTATGCAGAGTTGTAGAATACTGAGAAAGTGGAACTTTCAAAATAATAACATGATAAAGAAAAGCAAAAAAAAAAAAAATGAAAAGGTATGAGGATAAACAAAAATCTAATCATAAAAAACCGTATTTGGAAATTTTTATCTTAGTAAAGACAATAACTGAGGCAATAAAGTAAGGGTGTGATATGATCAAATCTGTATTCTACAAATATTGCTCAGACTCCAGTGAAGAAACTAAATGTACATTTGCTCTCTGTTGACGTTATCAGATGGTAGCCTAGAAAATGGAAAATAAGAGAATGAAAGAATGATAGAAATAAAAGTTTTTTCTTACATTAGACAAAAATGCTAATTTATCGTGACTTAAAATAAAGCTCAAAATAATTAGAATTCATTTGCCTAAATTAAAATTCTACTTCAGTTATTCAATATTTTAGCTTTATTTACATTTTTTAAAGAATACCAGTATTATTATCTAGGACTTTTAAACAAAAATACTGAAGCAAACAACACAGTTAATAATGATATGTTAAAGGATTCATGTTAAGGCAGGGACATGACAAGATGGTGGCCAGTAGGAAAAACCCAAAAGAAGAAAATGAGAGATCAATATTAAAGCAAACTTTAATGTGCAAATGATTTGATTATTTACATAGAAAAATCAAAAGAACATATTAAATTAGAATTAAAAGATAAAGTGCTTGCTGCAGAAGATCTAAGACTGCAGCCTTCAATAAAAATTGCATCTCCACATCAAGAAAACAAAAATTCTCATTACTGGACAGATAGAGGGAGAAAAATTTGAAGGTGTCAATGACTACCTCTTTCTTGGATCCACAATTAATATCCTTGGTACCAGCAGTAGGGAGATCAGGAGACATATTGCATTGGAAAGTCTGCAGTTAGGGACTTCTTCAAGTTATTGAAAAGCAGTGATGTTAGTTTGAGGATTAAGGTGTGTCTCAATCAGACAGTGGTCTTTTGATGCCTTTGAGCTGTTGGTTTGAAGAAAAGTACTGAATATCCAATGGACTGCTAAAAGTACAAACAAATTTCCCCCCACCCTTTGTTTATGTTCTTTTTTTTAAATTAGTTTTCATGAAAGTTTACAGAGA